TTATTATGTACGTGACCACGCGGCCCGAGTAGACTCACTGCAATACTACGACCCGGCCGCCGCTGGCGACAAGAAACTGCCCGATCTCCCACGCGTGCGGCCCGTGCGGGGAGGCGCGCGCGAGCCGCGTACCAGCCGGTGCTAGGTACATCGGAGGAGCGCGCCGTTATGTTATTTTTAAATTTTAGCGTTTTGCGCAAACACTGACAAAGAGGCATTCCATCTTAGTCCTCAGGTGACAACGCATCTGCATCTTGAGTCTTTATTGAGGATAGATGTAGATGTCTATGGGTCACAGTAACCAGTTACCATTAGGTGGACTGTATGCTCGTTTGTCCCCCGATCCTTTTAAAAAAAATTAATCGTATATCACTATGAAACTCACACATTACAATTAAAATAATGCATTAACAATTTCACACACACATACATACATTATGTGTCAGTCATAATAATGTAATAAAGTGACGTTACTACATTAGCTCGGTCTGTGTGGATTTGCATAGGTTCGTTAGGGTGCACGTTGCCTCGACTGAGCGATGAGCGTGCCTTAGGGTCGAGCCGTCGGCTGTCGGTAAACAGGACGCCCTCAAAGGTGCCTAAGGCCGGCCACATACATACGGAATTCCGTTTCGGGATTCCGTTTCGATATTCCGATTCGGAATTCCGAACGTAGCAAGTCCATATAAAATCTATGACCCGCCACACACGTACGTTATTTTTCCGTAGGGTATTTCTCCGACTCGAGATTCCGTATGACCGCCTGTGCGTTCGGGATCCCGAACGGAAAAAAGCCGCTCCGAACGCACGTCTTCCATAGATTTTGTACGAGCCGCAACACACGTACTTAAATTCCGTACAGAATGCGCTTCCCTTCGACGCGGTTTCCATCGACGCCTCTCAAGGCTCGTCAGACCATTGTCTTGCCCGGAGTGTGGTGCCACTAACACTAACATCACGGTTGCATTCTGCAAGCTACCGCCGTGTTTGGCACTATAGGTCGTCCGATTGGGACAGGATGCGGTCTTTTTTTGCATTCTACCCTTGGAGGCGGGTTTGCTTCTCGCCCGACGATCCCAGCGTTGTTGCAGATTCTGTCGCTGATTTGGTACTTTAGGGAACTTTATATTCCACTATCTATGGTGCCCATGGAATCTGCCTCCGATGGGCACCACAGAGGATGTTCGATCGCTCCTGTAAAATAGCCTCACGCTATAAACAGGAGTGCTACCGGGCCTGGGCTGACGAATCAACGTCTCGGGATATAAATATCAGCGCCCTTACAAAGAAGTATAATTCCGCCTCCACACAAGGCAAGGTCTGAGCACATAGGCAGACTTGACGAGAAACTAGTTCGCCTTCCTTCGGGAACCCGTGCATTCTGGTCTCTCGCCAAGGCTGTCCAAGGAAACTTCTGTCAGCAATCTCTTCCATCTCTGCACAGAGAGGACGATTCACTGGCCCATTTCGCAAAAGAGAAAACCGATCTGTTAGGCTCTCTCTTTGCGTTCCACTCGACACTCGATGACGGGGGGAACACACCGTCGACCATCGAACGGTTCGCAAAGTACTCCTCTGGACGTCAGCAAGTCGAGTGAGCCTGATGGAGTGCTGTGCTGAAGACGTGTGCCTCGGAGTTGGCACGGGTTTTAACGCGTCTTTTTCGGTACTGCTACTCTCAAGGCGTAGTCCCGAATTCATGGAAGGCAGCTTTGGTCCACCCGATCCCTAAATAAGGCGACCGCTCAGACCCGTCCAACTACAGGCCTATCGCCATCACCTCCTTGTTCGCCAAAATAATGGAGTACATTATAATCTGCCAGCTCATGAGACCTTGAGGATCACCAGCTGATTAGTGACCGCAAATATGGTTTTCGTCGGGGTCGATCAGCTGGTGATCTTCTGGTCTACCTGACTCATAGATGGGAGGAGGCAGTATAGTCCAAGAAGAAGGTATTGGCCGTTGGTTTGGAGCTAGCGAAGGCTTTCGATCGGGTCTGGCACAAAGCGCTTCTTTCAAAGCTCCCTTTCTATGGGCTTCCCGAGAAATTGTGCAATTGGATCACCAGTTTCCTTGCTGATCGGAGCATCAAGGTCGTAGTAGACTGTACATGCTTTGATTTCAAGCCTATCAACGCTGGTGTTCCACAAGGCAGTTTCTTCTCCATATCAATGATATGTTGCAAACTGGTAACATTCATTGCAGACTATGCAGACGACAGCACTGGTGATGCCTTATATACCGGCCGTGCCAATATTTCTCGGGAAAACGTCACCGAGTACCGGGACAAACTTGTGTCTGAAGTCGAGTCTTTGCTGAACAAAGTCTCGGATTAGGGACGACTAAATCTAGTCCAGTTCAATCCCCAGAAGACACAAGTTTGCGCGTTTACCACTAAAAAGAACCCCTTTGTCGTATCTCCTCAGTTTCAAGGCACTCGCCTTGCTGCCTCAGCTAGCATCGGAATCCTAGGCGTAGACATATCGAATAGTGTGCAGTTTCGTGGTCACTTGGAAGGGAAGGCCTCTAAAAAGCTTTTCGTGCTCAGCAAAGCGAGACAGTATTTCATGCCGGTACAACGCTTGTAACTTTACAAAGTGCAAGTTCGGCCTCACATGGAATACTGTTCTCATCTCTGGGCCACTGCACCTCAGTGCCAGCTCCTTCCACTGACTGCATCCAGCTAAAAGCGGTCCGAATCTTCGACGAGCGAGTTCTTTCTGACTGGCTAGATTCACTAGCGTGCGTAGGGATGTTGCATCCCTTCGCATTTTCTATAGCATCTACCACGGTGAGTGCTCTGAGAAATTGTTCGGATTAATTCCAGCCGCTAAATTTCACAAACGCACAATACATCAAAATTCACGATACCATCCTCACCATCTGAATGCTTGGCGATCCACCACTGTGCGTTTTACTAGGAGTTTTCCTCCTCGTACAACTTCTCTGTGGAATTGATTACGACCAGCGATATTTCCGGACCGATACGACTTAGGAACCTTCAAGAAAAGAGCTTACTCCTTTCTAACAGGACGGCAACGCACCTGCAATTCCCCTGGTGTTGCGGTTGTTCATAGGCGGCGGTAGTCACTTACCATCAGGTAAGCCACATGCCCGTTTACCCTCTTCTATAAAAAAAAAATTGCCACGGGCAACTACAGAACCCCACCTCTACATTGTGCGTGGAACGACACGCACTTGGCCAGTTTTTTTCATTCATCAGCACCAAGTAACGTACTGAATTTATGAGATAAGAATATTATAGTGAAAAAGTGAAGCCTTTAAAAGTTTCATTTAACACATCTTTCTGGCCTTTGTGCTACACACAAATAGTCCTAGATCCTTCAGATTTTATTTAATTTGCAATTCATACTTTCTTTTTCAATAGAGGTTGAGATCGAGGTTCTGGTTGCAGTGAAAGATGTTGAAGATTGAATTAAAGTGATATGTACTATGCATTAGAACACCGCGAATAAAATTTATCCTGTAGAAAAAGTAATTTTGAGCCAGTGGGCTCTAGCATGTGTTGCAAACGATTAAGTCTCGGCATCTCTCCTAGTTCTAGCACGTAGAACCTACATTTTACCTCAACGCTTGCAATCGAGTGAACTGCTGAGATAGAAATCTTTCAGTTTAAAATTTAAAGTAGACTTCATGTTCTCACTGAATCTTCTGTTTATGGAAAATAATGAAATATAGCTAAGAAATCTAGGATAAAATTATTCTTATAGACATTTTTTATCTAATACTTAATATATACACATTTTTTGTTACTTTTGAATAAATTAAAATATTATCATATGATATTTTTTATTAAAAAGCATTTTTTAATAATGAGTACAAAGAAATAAATTAAATATTTTATATAATATCTTATACACTTCACTTACTTTATAATGAATACATGTTCTTGCTTTTAGTATAGCATTATTTTAGCTCACGACTCATATTTAACCTATTATTGATGGTAAGATTCAATATAGTAATTCTAAACAGGTGATACTCCATCAGCAACAGTAACCATTTAAAACCATATGAACTAATAATATCTGTTTCTCATCCTTACGTAAAATATACTCGCAACTTAATTTGGAAACTAAGTGAGAAATGACTAAACATTAGCAAATCAATATGAAATGTTACAGAAGACAAGTAAAAGAAAACAAGTTTTTGTCTGACATATTTATCGTGCATACCGCATACAATGTTCAAAAAAACCTGAATGATCTAAAAGGGGCATATAATTTTACAGAAACATTTATATTTAAGCCAAAATGTAATTTTTATTCGAAATCAATGTATGTAAATACAATTTTCCTTTAAATAATTAATAATTTACAAGTCCCACTATCATTTAAAGGTAGTAAAATAACCAATGTTAATATAACAAAGGTGGCAGGGCAGGACTATCTGCCTGAACTAGTACTTTCAATTAAACATATTTTTAGCTTCAACAGGCAATGTGCATGTGAATGATTGTCAATCATATATTATAATTGACCGCTCCATGGCACAGTGGCTTCGCAATAAGTTGCAGCACCAAGAGTTGCGGGTTTGAATTACGCACGGAACAAGTATTTGTATAGCCTACAAATAATTGTTCCAAGTCTGGATGTTTGTCCTTGTGAAATTTATGTATGTCAACCCCACAATACAGGAAAAAATCTTAGTGTGGAGGTAACGTTTTTTCTAATAAAAAAGAGTAAAGAAGAAATAATTTAAGATTTGTGCCGTTGGATTTTAATTAGAAAACTTTTATCATGAGTTTTTAAAAGGTCTACATATCATATATAATCAAATAGTAATTAAGATTGACATGCATCAGCTTTTTAGCTGCTAGTGTGTTTGTGTTTATGTAACAATAATAATACCAAATGACACCCCAACAGATCAGACAGGGATTTTTTACATGCTGCATATCATATAATTAAGGTGCTATATGCTATATGTAGATTCTTACTACATTTAACTTGCTTTCAATAAACTCAAGTATGTTAGACTAGTCTGATGTATTTTGTATGACAATAAGTATAAATTCTCGATCTGGTGCAATCAAAATCTCATGTCTTCTACTCCTAACACGAAGGAATGTGAGCTCATTTGTAGAGTCCTAAAAAACAAAATACATAATTGTATAGTAAAGTCATAGTTTTTAAAGTTGTAATTGTAAACCAGTATGCTTGCAAAAAATTATTGAAATGAGATTTGAAAATAATAATAAATAAAAAATTTGGTAAAAAGTTGAAAAAAGATACTTTTTATCTGCTAATAATGTCTAAAATTACTAAAACATATATCAATATCAAGATATTAGTAGCTAAGAATCTGCTGTTTGCTTACATTGAACTATTTTTGAAAATGGGATAAAAATAAGAATTATTATATAGGTAAAGATTATCTAATATTATCAAACTAAATATAATTACCATTTCACGAACTACATTTTTAGCCTTTTCTGTTAGCTGACCAATTAAACCTGAATACAACACTGATGTAGCATTATCTAGTGAGCTCTTGATGGGTATCCCTGAAAATGATGATGAATTTAGTTGAATTATACCGAGAAATAGTCTGTACCTGAGAAATAAGTTGAAATATTTATATTTATGCATATTTCAAAACTGTAAGCTAGAAAAATATTTTTCTCGAAGTGTTAAGATTAATAAAAAAAATTGCAGTTAATATCGATTTTTTTAGTTCCCATGGCACTGCTTAATATAATCGAACAAACCTTCGTGATTCACAATGATTACCCCCATAACTCCTTTATGAGCTTGGATTCTTTTGATAGTTTCTTCAACTTCTGTTGCCTGAAAGGAAATATACAAAAGAAACAATAATTAAAAGTAATAACACATATTAAAACTGTAAAGAATCGAAATAAATACCATATTTTGATATTTCTTTTTATGTTACAAATAAAAATTTATCAGCACCACAAACTATATAGAAACACTACGCGTTATCAGCACTTTAGAAGGCAAACGACAAACGTCAATGTCAAGCATATTTTTTTTTGGAGTTTATGGCCTGGCATCTAGACCTTTAGGCCAAAATGTCAAGCATAGATAATACACAGTGTTGCCAACGATTTGAAACCTGATATCGCCATTTTTCACCGATGTAGTAGCCTATAGTACGGCCGCTGAGTTATTACCGATTTGACAGATTATTCTTAAATTAATCGATATAACCTTGCACGAGCGACACATTTGCCGAATGATTTAGAATACCTCTTTAATATAAAACTTTATGTCAAAATGTCAGAATCAAGTAATTTTCCAATAAACTCTGTTTCAAAACTTAAAATAATTTGTAAATAATATGAAAACATTTATTTTTTGTTCTTTGGCGCGCTTGTACAAAGTTACATCGTGCGTCTAGTTTTCATAGTGATGTGCTTGATAGTATTCGGTCCGAATTCATTGGAATAGATATGATATTTATTTTATTTGGATATTTTTATTTTACTTATTCCTTCGAGCAACTAGACTATAATGCTACCATTTTTTTGCGTCTCCTAATTGCACTGTGTTGCCAGTATCTCTATGATTTTTAAGATTTATGTGTGATTCAAAGACAGAAATACTGTTTTCTATGATTTAAAAATAAATACAATTAAAATGATTATGTATAATTTTTAACATTCATAATATATAAAACAACATTTAATAAATATAATTTTCTCCCTCAATTAAGCAATGTTATAGGTGTATTTTTTTAAGTAATTGGCGATACTATTCTGGCAACACCCTTACCACCGCTATTTTAATCTGTTTAGTCGTCTTCCGTACTCTCGTGCGCACAGACTACGTTCTCTTGTGTAACCGTTGTTTTCTGACTCGGCTTTCTCCTGTTTATCGTTGCGCTTTATTGGACTAATTTTGTTTGTGTTTGGTAATTTTGTTCAAAATGCCGAAACGAGGAAAAACATTGAATAGTCAATGTCGTGAGCTTGTAATAAAGCTACAGGATTACTTTGAGCCTGAGTCACAAAATGGCGGCCCTTTGATTCCTGTCGCTCAAGTGAAAGATCGGGTTTCACAAGCTCTTGGAATTGGTGCAAAAACACTATATAATATAAATAAAGAAAAATTTGGTGCTTCTGGAAGTGAAGATAATGTTTTACGCACTCCTAAGAAAAAACGAAGACAAAAGCCCGTGACAGGTGTTGATGTTTTTGATGCAGATGCAATAAGAAACCACATATATGGTTATTATACTAGGAACGAGTTTCCAACTAGACGTTTGCTTTTGGTATCTTTAAAAGAAGCTGGCTTGTTTAAAGGCGGTAAAACGGCGTTGTCAAAACTATTGCACGAAATTGGGTTTGAATATAAAAAAACGAATAAAAGGAAAATATTAATGGAAAGATTTGATTTAATAATTAAAAGGAGCGAGTTTTTAAGAGAAGCCAGAAAAATAGTCTTGGGACAACGTCGTTTTTGTTGACGAAACATGGTTAAATGTGAACCCCACTGTGTCACGCTCTTGGACTGACGAAACAAAAGCATCAACCTCAAAGGTTCCAATTGGAAAAGGATCGCGACTGATAATTTGTCACGCCGGTTCTGCTGGAAGTGGTTTCTTTGAAAATGGCCGACAAGAAAGCTGATCTCGTAGCATGGCTACACCAAAATGGAATTGAAACTACTGCCGAAATGCTAAAGTCTGACTTAGTAAAGTTGGTACGCGAAAATAAAACATCAAGAGTCCGTTATGAAGTAGATGAGATAGCTCTAGCACATGGACATCGGGTACTTCGAATTCCGCCTTATTACTGCCAGTACAATGCCATTGAGCTAATATGGGCACAAATCAAAGGTATTGTTTTTTATCGCATAAGTTATGAATATGAATAATTTGTACTATTATAACATCCAATATTCAGCATATAAGTAAAAAGATACATAACTAAGAAATAAATATCTCATGTCCCTTACATGTAGGTAATTGTGTAACATTTCGTTTATTTAATGTAATAAATTAACGTTATTTAATGTTTACATTACAGGTTACGCAGCTCGTAATAATACGACTCCGCCATTCAGTACTAATAAAATGATGGGTCTATTAAAAGATGCTTGCAGCAAAATAACGAAGAAGATTGGGTCAAGGTCGTCGAAAAGACTCGAAAACTAATAACAGAAGATTATGAACCCGATATAAGAGTGGACACCATTATAGAGAATGAAATTGTCATACAAGTGACTGATAGCGATGACAGCTCTGGCGAATCTGGTTCAGAGTCTGAATAATTGTTTTAATAAATGATAGGTAGTCATTTATTAAAACATCTTGTACCTACTCTATTCATTAAAATGTGTAACAGTGTTTACAAATTTGTTTTATTTTGATATGTCCTCGACCAATTATCTACGCCCATCTAGGATACTCCACCTAATAAAGAACCTGTGTCTTTAACTATTATTGTTTTGATTTTATTTAATTACACACTATACTAGAATATTTAAAAACAAACTGTTCCCAAATGATATTAGGGTTACTGGTTCAGTCACTTCACTAGTATTGTCAATTCGTCATGTGTCAAATCGGTAATAACTCAGCGGCCGGACTATAATATAGCCGAATTTGAGCTGAGGTAGCATAAAGTAGCCCAAACATCAAAACTTCGCTATGAATAAATAATAACGTAATTTTTAAAAATTTGTTTATTCATAACATGTACATAGAATATCAAATTTAAAAAATCGCAATCATCATCTGCTGCCAACAGCAACAAAGCATCAGCAAGACTTTCACCATCCAAATTTTCTGTAGCCTCTGCTGTGTTGGTGCCGGCGCAAGCTGCGTTGGAAATGGAAACTTACATTTTCCTCCCGGCATGTAAACTGATCATATGATTGCTTGGTTGAAAATTGTTGCAGCAAATATTTCGGACATTCATATGTACGGATTCGAAGAATTGCAATCAGCATGGATGGCTGCAATCTGTTCCTTAATTTTGTTTTTATCTTACCTATCACGCTGAAAATTCTTTCTACGATAGCATTACTTAAAGGTAGTGAGAGACATCGCAATGAAAACTCGGCAAAATCTTTAAAAATGGGATTCCCTCCAGCATTCTGTATTTTCAATACCTGTACCCAAAAATTTACGATATCATTGGGAGAAGCTGTACTGGTTACTTCGATGCACAACGTACTTCAAGAACGCCATTGGTTCATTATATTTTCCCGGTCAATATTAGATTTCCCTAATTACCAGAGAAAATCATCAACGTTGGGTCTACTGGCTTAAAGGCACAGGTTGATGATAAATGTTCAATTTTTTCTACTACTAACACATTAAGTGGTAGCCTGTCAAATAATTCCTTCACTAAGCCCACGAGACATTCACGACATACACGCACAGGGCTCTTGGAGACTTGAACTTCTGTTGTGATTCAGAATGCTTGAACGCATCGATAACCTAAAAATATATCATTATGGTGTATCAAATTTAATGCTCCAGTACACGTTGGCCGAGCGCGCTTGGCGAGCGCACTCGGCAGATTTTCGTGGTGCCGTTCACACGTTGGCGTGTTTCATTCTGCGTTGATAGCTAGATGATGATGGACGTTAGGGCAATCGCGGCCGCTGTCATATACTTATACAGCGCTTCACTCTTCTCAGAGTGAACGAAAAAAAAAACTACACATACAACAATAATCCCAGTTTGTCCTTTTTAGGGTTCCGACCTCAAAAGGAAAAAATAAACCTTTATAGGATCTACTAGCTGACCCGTGCCCGCTTAGCTGGAGTTTTTTTCAAAATAAATGATTGCCCAAAAGAAGCCCCTAAGCTACATTATCCCTGAGCAACATAAACGCAGAGATAATTTATAATAATATTTATCATTAGGTAGGTACTTTGAAATCGCAACTATACGTGTATTATTTAATGCAGTTAGGCAAGTTACTCTGGTTTTATTTTTATGTTGCTCATGTTTGGAGTTCCATATAACTGATTCATTGTGAGGATCAATCAATGAACAATGAATCAATATTTCACTCCATAATTATTAAATCGTAATGTGTTGGTATGCATATAAGTAACATTAAAAATATGTTATATTGAATTATATATTTTTTCATAATATATGATATTTATTTATATATATACATGCTTATATACAGAATGGGGTCCCACATATATGCAATAAATGAAACCACATACTTGTTATCGCCTTTGCTGACGATGTACAAAAAATGAACATAATCGGCCCAGTAATTAGGTCAAAAAGTAGAGTTTTAATTTTAAGCATATTTGAACCCTCTATAGAATTGGGTCACTAAGTCAATGATTCAATGAACTTGAATCCTTGAATATTAAAAAGCGACGTTGCCACGCAGTGCAAACTATTGGTATTGCGACGTATCGACAGCGGTGTCTTTTGTCGGCGTGCATAAACAAGGGGCACGAGGCACGCGGCGTACTTCAAAGGCGACGGCGCAACGGCGCGCGCGCCTTTGTCATAGAGTAGGACACCTGTTATCGACGATTAGCTTCTTTCAAAGGGAGTAAGTAATAAACGATAAACAAAAAAAAATGTTTAGCTTTAAACACTTTGGGTATGGTTTTTTTAGAATTATCGTGTTGTTATGATAATCCTAAAAATACTACGACCTAAGTATTAAAGCTAAGCTTTAAAGCTTTTTTTTGTTTAAGTGTGTTCTTGTAGATTTAGAGATAATAAATTATTTTAACATGATAAAAAACCCATAAAAACAACCAATTAAAAAGTCATACATACTTAACCGTTTCCCAGGAAGTCACAAATCGGTAGTTTCGTAAGTTCAATTGTACAAAAATAAACTTTTTTTTTAATATCAATAACTTGTCGATTGTTATGAAATCAAAAATCAAAATTACTTGTATTCAAATGTAGT